AACATGTGCAAAGGACATGGGATGAAACAACGCCATCCTTGCCTCTAATGAGCATTCTGGTTATATTTCTTCCAAGACAGATCTGTTTGTTATTTTGGCAGTCCATGGTACTTTCAACATTCTTTGCCAATACCATAGTTCAAATGCAATGGTTTTTCTTTGGTCTTCTTTATTCAATGTCCAACTTTCACGTGCACATAAGGTGGTGATTGAAAATTCTCAAAGTTACATCCTTTTTTCCCCAACACTCTAAAGAGGTGTTGTGCTCCAGATTTACCCAATGCAAGGAATCATTCGGTCTCTTGACTGCTGCTTCCATGAGCATTGTTTATGGATCCAAGCAAGATGAAATCCTTGACAATTTGAATCTTTTCTCCATTTAGCATGATGTTACCTATTGATCCAGTTATGAAAATTATGGTTTTCTTTACATTGGCTTGGAATTTATACTGAAGACTGTAATCCTTGATCTTCATCAGCAAATCCTTCAAGTTTTCCTCACTTTCAGTCAACAAGGTTGTGGCATCTGTATATCGCAGGTTAATAAGCCTTCCTCCAATCCTGAGATCACCTTCTTCTTCATGCAGTCCAGTTTCTCTGATTATTCGCTCAGCATACAGATTGAATAAGTATGGTGAGCTGATATAACCCTGGCACATACCTTTCTTGATTTTAAACCAAGCACCATTCCTTTTTTCTTCTCACAAAGCTAACTCTTGATTCATGTACAGGTTCCTCATTTGCACAATGACATGTTCTGGAATTTTCATTCTCCTCAAGGCTCTCCATAGTTTGTTATGATCTACACAGTCCAAATCTTTTACATGGTTAGTGAAACACAAGGAAACATCTTTCTGGTATTCTCTACTTTCAGCCAAGGTCCAGCTGATACAGCAATGATAGCCCTTGTTCCACCTCTAGAGCTACCTGAACCTCTGAGAGCTCACTGTCCATGTACTACTGTTTTGTTGGATAAACTTCAACAGACTTTTAGTTGCATGTGATTTCAATGATATTTTTCTATAACGTTCTCATTCTGTTGGGTCATCTTTATTTGGAACGAGTATAAATATGAATCACTTCCAGTCAGTTGGCCAAGTAGCTGTCTTCCAGATTTCTTGGTATAGATGAGTGAGTGCTTCCTGTGCTTCGTTAGCTTATTGAAACATTTCAATTCCTGGAATTGAACTTGGATAATGCTTTCAGTGCAGCTCAGACTTCTTCCTTCAGTACCATTGGTTCTTGTTAGTCTGCTACCTCTTGAAATGATTGAATGTTGACTAGTTCTTTTTCGTACAGTGACTGTATTTTTTCTATCTTCTTTTGATGCTTCCTGCATCATTCATTCTTTTGCCTGTAGAATCTTTCAATATGGAAACTCCAGGCTTGAATGTTTTCTTGTGTTCTTTCAGTTTAAGATATGCTGTGTGTTCTTCCTTGATTGGTTTTATAACTCTAGTTCTCTGCACATTTCATAACAATATTTTACTTTGTGGTCTTGAGCTGCCCTTTGAAATTTTCAATTCAACTCTTTGACTTCATCAGTTCTTCTATTTGCCTTAGCTACTCTGCAATTAAGAGCAAGTTTCAGAGACTCTTCTGACATATACATCAATCTTTTATTTCTTTCCTGTCTTTTTAATGACCTTTTGCCCTCTTCACAATTGATGTTCTTGATGTCATCCACAGCTCATCAGGTTTTCTGCCATTAATGTTTAATGTATCAAATATGTTGTTAAGATATGCTTGAAATTTGAGTGGCATATACTCTCGTGGACTTCTTTTCATTTTCTTCAACTTCATCCTGAATTTACATATAAGCAATTGATGGTCTGTAGCACAGTCAGCCCCTGACCTGATTTTAGCTGCTGATATTGAACTTCTCCATCGCCTCTTCCTACAGATGTAGTCAATATGATTTCTGTGTATTCCATATGGAGAAGTCCATATATGTAGACTTTTGTGTTGTTCAAAAAGATAATTACAACAAAGAAGTCCTTGGTCTTGTAAAACTCTTTCATGTGATCTATAGCTTCATTTCAATCAACAAGACTATATTTTCTGATTGACCATATTTTCCAACTACTATTCCTCTTTGTTTTCAACTCTTGCATTCCAATGGCTAATAATTATCAGTATCTCTTGATTGCATGTTTGACCAATTTCGGACTGAAGACATTGGTAGAATTCTTCAATTGCTTCCTTACTAACTTTAGTGGTTTGTGCATTAATTTGAATAATAATTGTATTGATTGGATTTCCTTGTATGGGGATAGACATTATCCTATCACAGATAGCATTGTGCTTCAAGATAGCTCTTGAAATGTCTTTTTTTTTCCATGATGAGTGCAAAGTTATTCCTCTTGATCATATCATTCCTGGCTTATTAAACCATATGATTTTCTGATTCTAAATGTCCAATACAAGTCCATTTCAGCTCATGAACACCTAGAATATCAACCTTTATGTAGTCAATTTCATTTTGAATGACTTCCAATTTTCCTAGATTCACACTTCAGAAATTCCAAGTTCCATTTATTCATTTTATAGCTGTTTCTTCTCATTTTGAGTAGTGCTCCATTAGCAAATGAAGGTCCTGAAGGCCCTTCTCCCACAAGCTTCCAAGTCATTATGGTTTACTCTACAAGTGGCATCATTAAAAAAAAAAGTCTGCTAAATCACAGAAGTAGATGGGAATTTGGATTGCAGTTGGTCACGAATTAGCCTTGCCATAAATCAAACCAAATCAAACCAAACCCACTGCCATCGAGCCAATTCTGACTCATAGTGGCCCTATAACTGCTCCTGTGGACTTCTGAGACCATAACTCTATGGGAATAGACAGTCTCATCTTTCTCCCAAAGAGGGTGGTTTCAACCTACTGACCTTGTAGTTAGTGGCTCAACATGTAACCACTATGCCATCAGGGCTGGCATTATTCTAAAGAGAACTAAACCCTGTGAACCTAATTAAATATTTGGTTATCGAATAGAGACACAATTGCAATTCCCATGGATAGTTTAAAAAGTTTCTAATTGACTTAGGACCTATGTGGCTGAGCTTCCTAAATGCAGCTTATCAGGCCAGGTACATTGAAAATAAATAACCATCCAGTATCTTGAATGGGCCATATTGCTATTGCAAGGAAGAGAAAAGAATATTAAGCCATACTAGTACCTTTTAAATTAAATTGAAAATATTACAGAGTCTTTCAACTTTCTGCCATAGTTTGACCTTTCTTATCAATATTTTTGGTCTATGTCTTTTGTACCAATAAGCTGCATCAGGATAAATGGAGAAAATCTTGAAGTTGTCAAGGATTTCATTTGAGTTGGAGCTACAATCAATACCCATGGAAGCAGCAGCCCAGAAATCAAACGACATACGGCAATGGGCAAATAAACTGAAAAAGACCTCTTTAAAGCATTCAAAACCAAAAAGACATCACTTTGAGGACAAAGTGCCCCTAATTCAAGTCATGGTGTTTCCAATCACTTCACACGCTTGTGAAAGCTGGACAGTGAGTAAGGAAGACTGAAGAAGACCCAATGCCTTTGAGGTATAGATCTGCCAAAGAATAGTGAAAGGATCATGGATTTCCAGAAAAAGAAATAAGTCTGTCTTGGAAAAAGTACAGCCAGAAGGCTTCTTAGAAGCTAGGATGGTGAAACTTCGCATTGGGCAAAGTTGGCAGTTCAAACCCATCAGTTACCTCACAGGAGAAAGATGAGGCTGTCTGCTCCCATAACAATGTATGGTCTTGGAAACACAGAAGGGCAGTTCTACTCTGTCCTATTGGATTGCTTTGAGTCTCGTGATGAGTCAGAATTGACTTGCTGGCAGTAGGTTTTTTGGTTGTTGTTTTTAGTGAAGTGGAATCAACTTCATGGCAGTGTTTTTTTTTTGTGTGTCATAACTTACACAATGTAGAAGGTAGATACTATTTTCAATAGTCCTATATTAAACAATAATATTTTTATTTTTCAGATAAATACTAGAAACCCAGCATAAAGCCCAATAGTCCTTAGTATCTTATTCATTGAATGACAAAAATATAAATAGTGGTGTCTCTTGAACTGTGTCCCCCAAATAACTTATGTTGCTAGTTTTACCCCTGGACCTGCAAATGTGACTATTTGGAAATAGGGTTTCTGGTAACGACATCATACCAGAGTCGGTGGTGGTGGTGGGGACCTAAACCTAACCTTTTCTGAGTGATGTCTTACAAAAAGAGCAGACGAGTCAGAGATATAGCCACAGGAAGAAGACAGATACCATGCCAGGCTCATCTACAAGCAAATAAATGCCAAAGATTACTGGCAGATGCCATGTATTAGGAGAGAGGCCTACAGAGGCACTGGCATTCCGGAGAGTCTGAATTGGACTTCTAGACTCCAGAACTGTGGGGAAATTAGTTTCTGCCCCTTAAAGGCACCCAAATGTGCTGTCTTTTCTTACAGTGGCATGGGGTAACGAAACAAACCAATAAACCCCACCGCTCGTGCTATGGACTTGATTCCAACTCCTGGAGACCCCCAGGTTTGAGAGCAGAACGGCACGCTGCAGGGTTTCTTGGCGGGTATCACTACACAAGCTCATTGCCGGGCCTTCCTTTCCTGGCACCGCTGGGTAGGTTTGAACTCCCGACTTTTTAGTTAGCAGTTGAACACAAACCAGTTGAGCCACCCAGGGATCGAGTTACCAAGACAGAATGATGGTAACTGAAGTAAAATGTCCTGGGTACATATATGAAAATCAAAGTACCGTTTTCTTTTCTCTCCCACGAACACATTAGGCCATCCAAGTAAGAGAACCGTGCTCTTTCTAGTACTCCTGAGTGTGTCTCGAGATTGTGTGACTAAAACATGCCATCTCACCAGTGGGCAGAAACCTGCACTTTCGGGAGTTTTCAAGAGAGGGCATAGGATGGGCGTGGGGTGGGGGGGTGGGGGAAGGGGCGGGGGTGGGGGCGGGGGTAGGAGCAGTGGAGGCTGATCTACCTGTGCAGACTCTTCCATTGGGCGCCAGGCGGAGTCCCGAGGATGGACACAGGCACCGAGGGCCTCCCTCTGTCTCTTCACAGCCGTATTGGCAGTTCGTCACAGCGCACGTCCTGGAGTCTGAAAAAGCAGGCAAGCATGAGTCTCTTCCTCCCCAGCGGCTGGAAGATGCAAGCCGAGGAAATGTTTCCAAATGCCCGGGCTGCACGGCAGCATGACCTGCGTTCGCCGAGTCTAGAATGGGGGCGGTGGCCTGACCCTTGCCCATGATTTGTTTTGTTGGCCAGTACATTGAACCCGACTGTCTTTCCATAGGTCACACACCCCTCAGTCACCGAAGTCCGCATGACTCTCTCTTTGTGCACAAGCTCCAATCACTCCTCTCTGTTATCTAACTGGACTCTGAGGTTGAAATGCAACCCCTCATGTAGATTCCGGTAAAGCCATCCATTTTAATGTGCTCTTCAATGAGTCATTGAGTCATGGGACTTGGTTTTTAGGTGCCCGCATTAAGACAGGTGGCAGGGCAAACATCAATCACCACTGCCCCGAGACCAGAAGAACTAGATGGTGCCCAGCTACCGTTACCAACTGCTCTGAAAAAGATTGCATTAGACGATCCTGGAGAGACCAGGAGAAAATGTGGAACACAACTTGCAACATCATGAAAGAGACTAGACTGCTTGGACAGAGACTGGTGGAAACCTCAAGACTGTGACTCTTAGTCTTCCTTCAGGTCTGGAACTGAACTCACTCAGGAGGTAGAAGAAGCTACCATCTAAGATAAAAAAGCAGCATTTACCCTTGGCCAAAGTTTAGAGGGTCAGGAAAGGAGGAATCGGTATAAACCATAACACACGGATGAGATGAAGCAAAGTGTGTGTGTGTGTGTTGTCGCCTGAAAAATGGATGATCTGCTCTGTAAACCATCAGCTAAATCACAACAAAAGTTTTAAAAATAAATGCATAAAACGGGTGGCAGGTACAAATGATTGGTTGCCCCAAAGCCATTCTGGACAACACCCCCAGACACTTACTTTCTCTTGCCACTTCCCACTATGGAGGCTAGAAAGCCAGACACTATTTTTTTCTTCCCAGCCTTCCTTGTAGTTGTGGCCAGAGATAGATAAAGATCTGTTGGCTGAGGGGAGGTGGGGAATGGAGCTTCTGGAAAAAAAATATTTTGCTTTATGCTAAAAGGGACCAAGTTCATCTCTTTCCCCTAAGGCTTGCCCACCTTGAATGTAGGTGTGATCTGTGGAACAAGACAGCCGTATTATGGGCATGTGGCATGAGACTAAAACAAATACCATGAGGTTGGCAGAGATTGACTCTTGGATAAGCTGCTGGGCACCTATCTGCCTCCAGCTTTTGTTATTTCTTAATGACTGGATTTAAAAATTTATTATTTGGAGGCGGGAGGGAGGGAAGGGGAGCGGTGGTCACTCGCTGAACTTCGAATAGCTTACCAAAATGCATCTCCTTAGCAAGGGCCTAGGTTATGTAGGTCAGAAGCTCAGGAGCACAAAAAAGCTTGTATGGTGCCAGCTCGATAACCACGCTGAAGGGGACCCAAAGGGACAGTCTCTCCATCATGCTGCCAGAGCAGGCCAGACACCCAGGTAGACAATAGAGATGGCAGGGGCTGAGAGAAGGCACCAGTCTCCTGGGCAGAGGCCCAGAGCTGTGGGACACAGGGAGGCACAGGCCATGCCTATAAAGAGAGAACTAGACAAAGGGCCCAGGGGCCGAGACTCAAGTCAAGATAACACACCTGATGGGTAGAGTTCCAGTTGATTCCTCCTGTCCTTCTCTTTAGTTTTCTTCTTTTAACACAAATCTTCAAAATGAGCCTAATTTAATTTCCCATTAGGCATGGGGTGGGGGAGCGGTATCTTTTTTGGCACCGATGAGCCTTTCACAGAATGTTTCAGAAACAGCCATTAGCATTTATCTTTTTCAAACGTTTAAGTGCTTACTATAAAGGCCTTGATAGTGCTTTCCTGTAGGGGCAAGGGGCAGGTCCTGGCAAAGTTCTATTTGGTGGTGGTTACAAGGGTCTTGGCCTGCTAAGAATTCATCAAGTTATAGGCCTGGTTCCTGTGGGTTTCTGTTTAACTTATAATAAGGGTTTGAAAAGAAGAGTCCGCCAGGGCTGTGCTAGCTCTTCAGCTGGCTGGCTTATGGATGCTGAGTGGTGTTGGGGTCCTTGGCCAAGAGCTGAGGATGTTGGGGTCCCTTGCCAATAACTGAGGAGCAGGGAGCTGTCCACCAACCAACTGCTCTGACCAGAAGCTTCTGGCCAGATGGCAGAAGTCTCTAGTTCTTTGGATTTGTTAGGGAGTGGTAGGCAGAAGCAAGCCCCTGGGGGCTAAAATGATTAATAGGCTCACATCTGCCCAAAGGTTGATACTCTGAGGCTGCTCAGAGGAACCGCAGAAGAAAAGCTTGGCCATCTACTTCTGAAATATCGGCCAAACCCTACAGAACACAGTTCTACCCTGACACACAGGGGTCAGGAAGAGGCAGGGTTGAGTGATGGTAACGTGCATGTTTTTGTTTTGCTGGGTGAAGAAAAGCGAGAGGGAAAGGAGGAGGGGGCCAGTGGAGGAGGCAGGATGGGGGGTGGGGTTGCCTGTCTGCTGCAACATAAAACCCCAAAAGCCTCCTTCCAGGCTGATGAATGGATTGATGCTCATCCTCCCACGGGACTGGGCCACCTTATCACAGAAGGGCTTTTCTTTTCAGGAATGTGAGTTGGAATGTCTCTCCGGTCCGAGTCACTAATCTTTGGGAGTGGGGCAAGGGGCGTGAGAAAGGCAGTTAGTGGGAAGATTCAATGTCCCTGCATGGAAGGTAGCACCTCCTGAAAACCAGATGCTTAGTTTGTTCCACATGCTGCCTCTCACGAGAAAACCCAACACATGTGGGAGCTTTGAGCAGTTTATGGAAAAATCTCCATTCTCTTCTAATTCCATTTGTCCACGAACTTCCTGAATCCCCCTCTCTCCCATTTAGTCTTTTTATTTAGGAAGTTCCTGGAACCATGAATCTATAGAGACAGGAAGCAGCTTAATGGTTTTAGGGGTCAGGGTGAGAATGCTTAAAGGATATGGGGGTTGCCTTGAGGAACTACATACAGGTGACAGCTACTCAACCTTACTAATGAACTTAGATGTCATTGAATTATGCACATTAAAAATGATGACATTCGTGTTATGTGTATTTTTAAAAGGAAGTGCCTATGGTACATGGATGGGACTGTGATAAATGAGATGAAACAAGATGTGACTGGATTGTTGACTATAGAACTGATGAGCTCTGTAAACATTCACCCAGTACATAATATAAAGTTTTAGAAGAAAGTGAGCGAGACCGAGAGAGAGCAAGTGAGCAAGTACCACATAGAATTGACGCTGAGTTGATATCAGGTTGTTTGCTTGTTTGTTTGTTTTTTAAATCCCCAAATCAACTTTTCCCCAAACATCATCTGCCCAAAGCCAAATTCCTAGTGTGGCTGAAAGTTGCTACTTACTGGAACATGTAGCATCTGGCATCAGCATGTAGCCGGTGAGGCAAAAGCACTTGTAGCTGCCATGAGTATTCACACATCTGTGTGGGCAGGGCCGGGGGCTGAAGCCACACTCGTTCACATCTGCAGGGGCCAGGGAGAAGCAACAGAGTAAGGTGACCTGGATCAGGAGCGTGTGGATGTGGAATATCCATATTGTACGGGAACACCTGGACTGCCTTTCCTAGACCCCATCCTTGAGGTCCTCTCCCCTGACCACCATCCAGGTTCCATTCTGGAGGGTTGTGAGGAAGTCCTCATGGATGGAATGATGTCCCCCAAAAGATATGTGGAAGTCCTAACCCCAATACCCGTGAGCATGACTTTGTTTGCAAACAGGGTCTTTGGTGATGTTACCAGCTAGCATGAGGTCCTATCAGAGTAGTGCTGCCCATATAATATAGAACAGATCCAGAGACACACGCAGGGAAAACAACCATGTGATGCTGCTTCTCTAGGCCAAAGAATGTAAAGAGCCCCCTAGAGCTAACAGAGCTGGAAAAGACAAGCACAGTCTTTCTCTCAAGTCTTCAGAGAGGACTAGGACCTACTGACATCCTGCATTCAAACACACGGCCTCCCAGATGGTGAGGGAGCACATCCTGCAGTGTAAAACCACCCACTTGGTGGTACTTTACAGCCCTAGGAAACAAGACAGATGGAGCAAATGGAAATATCACACACGCTGGGCCCACCCACAGCCATGGCACTGATTCCAACTCCCAACCCTTTGATAGGGCAGAGTAGAATGGCCTCTGTTGTGTTCCAAGACTGTAAATATTTATGGAATCAGACAGCCTGCTTTTTCTCCCATGGAGCAGTTGGTGGCTTTGAACTGCTGACCTTGTTGGGAGCAGCTCAATGGGCAATCAGCTACACCACCAGGGCTCGCTACACACTGTTGGAATGTGTAAAATATATAAAATCATTTTATGGGGGGCTCATACAGCCCTTATCACAATCCATCCACCCATCTATGCTGTCAAGCACATTTGCACATTTGTTGTCATCATCATTTTCCAAACATTTTCTTTCTACTCGGGCCCTTGATATCAGCTCCTCATTCCCACCCCCCACTCTCCCTCCCTCATGAACCCTTGATAATTTATAAAAATTTTTTTCATGTATATTTTAAAAATATCATTTTATTGGGGGCTCATGCAACTCTTATCACAATTCATACAGCCATCCATTGGGTCAAGCCCATTCATACGTATATTGCCATCATCATTCTCAAAACATTTGCTTTCTACTTGAGCCCTTGGTATTAGCTCCTCATTTTTCCCCCTCCCTCCGCCCCCCCCTTCCCCCATGAACCCTTGATAATTTATAAATTATTATTATTTTCCTCTAGTTCCTAAATGCTTCCTCCCCCCAACTATCATGATCCCAATTCTACCTTACAAATCCGGCTAGACCAGAGGATGTACACTGGTACAGATAGGAACTGGAAACACAGGGAATCCAGGACAGATGAACCCCCCCAGCACCAGTGGAAAGAGTGGTGATACCAGGAGGGTGGAGGGAAGGTGAGGGAGAAAAGGGGAACAGATTACAAGGATCTACATATAACCTCCTCCCTGGGGGACGGACAGTGGAGAAGTGGGTGAAGGGAGACGTCATGGTGTACGATATGACAAAATTTTTGCATGTCTTACACTGACCAATTGGAGGAAATATTTTGTAAACTGATAGAACCACGTTGGAAAACGGTTTGGCAGAAACTACTGATGCTAAATGTATGCATACCAATGGACAATTCCACTCTTGGATATATACCCATTCTTCTCTTGCCAACCATCTTCTTATCTGGCATTACACATTTATGACAATAGAAAAAAAACAAACCCATGCATCTGGCAGTATCAAGTGGAGAGTCAAGATGAACATATGGTTGGCTGGGATGGTTAAGGTTATATGTGAACTTGGATGGGCCCCAGTGACGTAACTTGGCAGTTATGTAATGTAATTTGGCAAATGTAATGATGGCATCACCCTCCACTTGGTGATCTGCTGTGATCATCATCACATTGATTTTCATATAATGACCTGGTATTTGGAATTGAACTATATCGGTAAGTCAGGAGTATAGGTGTATACCCAACAAAAATGTGGATATGTTCTCACCAAAAGATCCATACTCAAATGATCACAGTAACACTATCCATAATAACTCCATGCTGGAAATAATCCTAATGTCTCCCAACAGAAAAAGGGGCAAATGATAGGTGTATTCATACAATGGAGTAATATAGAACAATGCCAAGGAACAAACTACTGCTACATACAACAATGGTTGAATCTTGCAAACGCGATAAAGAATGGAAGAAGGTGGATACAAATGATTACCTACTATAGCAGTGGTTCTCAACCTGTGGGTCGCGACACCTTTGGGGATCGAATAATCCTTTCACAGGGGTCAACTGATTCATAACAGTAGCAAAATGACAGTGATGAAGTAGCAACAAAAATAATTTTATGATTGGGGGGTCACCACCACATGAGGAACTGTATGGAAGGGTCATGGCATAAGGAAGGTTGAGAACCACTGTGCTATAGGATTCCACTTATACAGAGTCCCAACATACCAAAAGCCCACTGCCACAAAATCAATCCCCACTCATAGTGACCCTGCATAGGGGTTTGGAGCCTGTGAATCTATCTTTATGGCAGCATCCAGCCTCGTTTTTCTCCTGTGGAGCGGCTGGTGGGTTTGAACTGCCTTTATTGTGGTTAGCAGCCTAATGCTTAACCCACAGTACTAACATGGCTCTTTCGTTCAAAAATAGGCACAGCTAATCGAGGATATAAGTGTTCAATATAGGGTTCTCATGTGATGGGGCACAGGGTGAGGGGTGGTGGTGAGGGGGAGGAGGGCCTGCATGATTAGAAGAGAGTATAAGGAATCTTTTTGAGGGCTAACCTTCTGTTTCGTGATGTGGGTACTGGGTCCACAGGCATTTAGCTTGTGAAAAATTTATTGAGTTGCACTTTTTCTGATATGCAGGGGCTTCAACAAGTTTGTAGAAAATTCCATGATCTCTTCATTCTGTTTTTCCATGAACTTTTGGAAGACCCTTCATATGTGTGCATTTCTGAGTATATAACTTCCATTCAAAGTAGAGCTATCATGAACATAAAAAACAAACTCCTGGCCATTGCATTGATTCTGATTCATTGCCACCCCATAGGACAGAGTAGAAATGTCCCTTTGGGTTTCTGAGACTGTAAATCTTCACGGGAACAGATAGCTTCATCTTTTTCCCTTGGAGTAGCTGGTGGTTTTGAACTGCTGACTTCACCTTCAAAGCTATTGATCTGTGGGCCTAGAAGCATCTACCCACTGGATGCCAGTAGCATCTCCTCCAAAGGTCTCTAGACATTGGCATACAGCCTCTGGGGTCAACCCACTGCCATCAAGTAGTTTGGGACTTACAGAGCACCCCCTGTGGGGTTTCCAAGACTGCAGATCTTTATGGGAGCAGCTTCTGTGGAGCAGCTGGTGGGCTAGGGTGAAGTTTTAGCAAATGCAAATAAATACTGGATGCTTAATTAAATTTGACTTTTAGATATGTAACTATTCCTATTTTGTCCCATGCGATATTTGGCACACTCACTCCCTGCTATGAGTCAATGCCAATTCATAGTGACCCTATAGGACAGAGTAGAACTGCCCCAGTGAGTTCTGAGACTATACTTCTTTATTGGAATAGAAAGCCTTGTCTTTCTCCTGAGGAGCAGCTGGTGGTTTTGAACTGCCCACCTTGTAATTAGCAGCCCAACTCATAATGACTATGCCACCAAGGGCCCACATACACTAAAATGTTATTTTGTCATTTAGCTCCAATTCAGACTTCACTGGCCATCCTCATTTTATCTGGCAATGCTGCCTGGGGGAATGGGGGAGTCCTCCCAGTTGCTTATCACTGCGGCTGTTCTAGAGCCTGGTGGTGCAGTGGGAGAAGCGTTGGGCTGCCGATAGCAAAGCAGCCATTTCAGATCCACCAGCTTTTCTGCTGGAGACAGATGAGACTCTATTCCTGTAAAGATCAGTCATCTCAGCAGCCAAAGGGACTCGTTGGCAGTGGGTTCTTGATATTAAAACAAAACTCTCCAGTGTCTTCAAGTGATTCACTCATGCCCAAAGTCATCAATGGCCCTTTACAATATGGCAAACACGATAAAAATAGGCATGTTGTTCGGCCCAACCTTTCCATTTTGAGCTATTTAGAGCTGGATCCGGTAAGGGGTGGTCGGGTGCTTGTTGATTGGTGTTTGCTTTTGCAGTTTTCCATAGCAAAAAGTTAGAGACAACTGAAATGATAATGGTTAAAGAAACTATTTTTGACATGAACAATTTTGGGACTCTGAGCCTGCCTTTAAAAGTCCAAGGTGCCCCTGTATGTGCTGCCATGTAAGACGCCTATGAGAAACCACTATGTTTGCACCTGTAAAAGGAAGGATCTTGAGGCTGTAGCGCAAGCTACTATATGCAGTCCTAATAGGAGCTGGGGTGCAGATGCCCACTTTAAAATGGATATCATTTTGCATTGTTGGATTTAATTTTTAAAAACAAATAAAAAGTAACAGGCATTACTTTGGTAATTTAAAAAATACACAGAAATGACCTTGGTTTGTTGTACTCACCTTGACTGCAGGTTTTCCCAGTATATCCCAGAAAGCATTTGCATTTGTTGGGCCCCACACACTCCCCAAACTTGCATCCATGGATACAAGAGGCTGTGAAAGAAGAAGGTGTATGAATGATACAAGACCAGGAGTAGTTCACACAGTGACATGCACTAGGGTCAAAGGTAATGGCTACCTACTTCCCAGAGAGATCCATGGAGGCATGAGCAAGGGCAATCTGTTCTCTCTCTAATCTGCTTTCACCTTTTAAGATCTGGAAAGTAGTTTGTGAACTCAGTCGTTACCCTCCCTCCCCCCATGTGTGTATGCAACCTCACTTAGCACTGTTGCATGCATCCAGTGAGATTCAAAGATAAATGAAGGCTTGGGGACCTTACTCAGGCAGTATTGCATGTGCACACAAGATGTTTAAGAAAGGAAGTATACTATGTGAGCTGAGAGAGACCTCAGAGTGACCCTGGGCTGATTGCCAAGGTCTTTCTCTTTCTGTCACATGCTTCTTTTTACCTCTCTCCTGTTTTCTATTGTTCTTTTAAGTGATCAAAATGCCTGTAATGCGGTGCACAATCAGTCAAAATAAACACATCAGTTTAAGGGCAGGTAGGCAGGAGAAGGGCACAAGCTCTCTCCCTAAGGATGGGCACTAAAAGACGATGGGGGTGGTGGTCGTAGCGGTGGCAGTGTGAGAAAGCATGATGAGGGCATGGCTTATTTCAGTTCTGACTAGTCCAGTCATGGCTGACAACGGGAAATGGAACAAACTCACATTTGTCAAGTATGGGTGAATCAGAATGATAGCTAGATGGGGAAAAATTGCAATTCAACATTCTTCTAGAGACACAATCTCCCTCTTAGAAAATAAGGGCAATATGTGCATTGCATACCAACCAAATCTCTTACCAGCCACAGTCAGAAACAACGGTGTCTGACTCAAAGATGGTGGCCGACTGCACTACTTTGAATGGGTGTTTTTTCCATAGTCCTGGCAATAATCCATTCGGCATGAGGTACCCATGTGTCATGGGCCAACTTGACAGTATCTCACAACAACAATGCTGTCACAGGCTGCATTAGGCTCCTAAAAGTTCACTATGTCTCTTTTAAATTTTCCATTCCAGGGTTTCAACCTATAATTCTTCCTGTTCTGTTCATAATTCTGTTTCACCTATGTTTTACAAAATTGGGACTGATTCAATTTTGTTTGGCCAACTATGACTGAACTGGTTCAAACCAATTCAAAGCCCTGGTTTAGTTTTCTATTTTTGTCACTGGTGCATTCCAACACTTGGCACAAACTAGACATTCAATAAATATTTGTTCAATGATTGAAGTGGTGGAAGAAACAACAGGGATTATGAGGCTGTAACTTTTTGAGTTCTGGAAAGAAGATTGTCAGTGAAAAGGGAGATTTTTCAGTTCAATTGATGAGGAGGATAGAGGGAGAAAAAGCAGTCGATAAGAGGAAAAGAAAATGGGGAAACCGAAGGAGAAGGAGAAGGGAAGAGGAAGAAAAAATAATGACTAACAGAAAGGAAGTGTGTAGTGTATTGAGGGCTCTAAGAGAAGTTCTTGGATCTAGTAAGTGTTCAAGAAATAGCCATAGTTTGAAATCAAGATTCATTAATTGCCCAGGTATGCTGCTAGCTTCTCTTCCCATTGATTCCCTTGCTTCTTAGGTCTACCTCTAAGCAAACCTGATCTTAAAGACCTCATCTTTCCATTCCACCCTAGTCCCTACTTTTAGTTGATGCCACTATTCCACTCCCAGTGAGCTGGACTCAAAATCTCAGTTCTCTCTCTTTATCTTTCCCCCAAACCAACTAACTACAACATCCTTTCCCTATTTCTACCACCAATTCATTCATTGAACAAATGTGTATCTACCTCATTGGAACTTCATTGCTTAGAGATACCTGGGAGATTGAACTCACCCCCCTTTCCCGATGTGACCAGTGGGCCAGCACTTGACTGATGGAGGAGTCTAATGGCCTAGACTCCTACTCTGGGCAGGGCACAGTCAGTGGTACAATTCACCATCTGACCTTACCCTCCTCCCAGAAGCCTTCCCAGATATCTTCAACCACCTGTAAACATATGTTCAACTTTGAGAACACCATGAACTTTGGCAGGGCTCTCTTATGAAATTGGCCAGTTTCCAACTTACTCAATAAAGAGTATTGCTTTAAGGTGCAGTGGTTAAGTACTCCTCTTCTAATAGAAAGGTTGATAGCTTGAACCCACCAGCCACTCCTTGGAAGAAGCATGTGACAGCCTGCTCCTGTAAAGATGGCAGCCTTGGAAACCCTGTGGGACAGTTCTACTCTATCTGAGAGGGCCACTGTGAGTCTGACTTGACCTAATGGCAATGGGTTAGATGTTCACCTTCTATCCTTGACCTCTATCTACTACTTGATTCTAAGTACCTTTAGGACAGGAATGGAAATTTCTCATCTTTGTTTCTCCTACAGTGATGAAAACAGTGTTGTGGACCTGCTAGATACTCCAATATTTTTGAATAATGACTATAGTTATAGACGTTGAACTTATAACAGGGGAACACTTTGTGGTCCTGGCTAAATCATGGGTCAGGAGGTCAGGAAAAATAATTGCCCAGTAAAACCCTTCCACTTTAGGAGACAAAGGAGCTAGGATTTGATTTTCAGGATCTATTCAGCTAAGGGTCTGTTCTTGAGGATCCCGCTTTAAATTCAGACATTAAAAGAAGAAATCTGGGGAAGTTCCAAAGACCTCTGCTTGTTGCCCTGGGAATGGAGCTCAGGGGTAATCCAGACAGGCAGCTCAAGGTCAATGCCAGAACACAGGAGAACTTGTGAGCAACAGCCTGGCTTCTATAAGCTCAAAGCTCCAGAGAAATGTTTTCCATTGATAGCAACATTTGGTCTGGGATTTGAGCTCCTAGTCCACGGCAAAGGACAATCCAGCTGGACTCTAAAATGGCTTGAGACATCAGCTTGCTTTAGAATTCAGACCAAGTTAAATACTCTCGCTCAATTATATCTGCAGTGTTTCGTGAGGGATTTGCTTAGATCAGTGGTTCTCAACCTTCCTAATGTCGTGACCCTTTAATACAGTTCCTCATGTTTTGGTGACCCCCCAACCATAAAATTATTTTCTTTGCTAGTTCATAACTGTAATTTTGCTACTGTTATGAATCAGGCGACCCCTATGAAAGGGTTGTTCTACCCCCAAAGGGGTCGTGACCCACAGGTTGAGAAACCCTGGCTTAGATCAGCCTTGGCCCTGTCTTGCTAAGTAGCACACAGTTTAAGGTTAATGAGAACAAGTTGATCAGAGCAGAGCCCCAGAGCTGGAGAGCTCAGGTTGGGCCTTGGGAGGAATGAAGGGCAAATGCAAGGACAGAGACCACAGACAGGGAGAACTGGCCCCTGGCCTGGAGCTGGGTCCAGCCTATTTCTGGCAAGGCACACATGCATTTTGGGATGAGGCACACCACCTCTGACTTAGAGATCAAAAACCCACAGTCAAGGACAAACTATCCTATCAGTTGATGAGAAGAACCAGGCAAACTGGCTAAGACACGATACAGATTTTAGCTATTAAAAAGGACCAGTCAGTGCAATTGAAGTCCTGGGTGGTTGATGGGGGCATTGGGACTGCAAACTGACTCTTGGCTGCCTTGGGTTGGAGCCCCTGCACTTGCTCTTGTCATGTTTGGCCTGCAAGGATTTCATGCCCATGATATCACGAAGTCCACAGGAGGCCGGGGAAGCGAATGAGCAGGGCTGAGTACAGTGAGCCTTGGGATATCGGTTCAGCTCTACAAAATCTCCCTTCCAGAAAGCCCCAAGCCGGGGCATCCATGTTTTACGGCAGCAGGGCTGAAGTTTGTGCTACTGTCAGAGAAACTCTCAACCACATTGCCCAAGTGGCTTTTGCCCCTTTCCACCTGACTGAATCCGAACAAACATGTGTTAAGTCGTGTCTCACAAAAGAATCAAGCCATCTTAACAACCCTGGGTGGTTTCGCTGACTCAAGTCTGGGCTGAGAGTTATGTGCCCTTTCCAAAACCATGGTCATGGCTGAGGCATTTCCTATGGGTGCCAAGTCATGAACACCCCCTTTGATGTGTCTAATCCTTACCCTCTGAAGTTGGCATCATGCTCTCTGTGCTGCCCAGGAGCAATCTAAGTGAAGTTATGGTGCCCAGCTCAAGTTCACCCAGACTGTCTGATTCTCAGGACAATGCCCATGATCATAACACCATCATTCATATCAGTGCAGAGACACATCCCTGCCTCTGTCTTTCATCGGCAAAAGCCTGAACCTTTTTTACCCAGGTTGGTAATGAGGACTTTGCTATTGTTTCTAGTATTGACAGGATTGTCGTCTCACCAGAACAAGCAACCTATTGAGTGCCTTCACTGTTCCATGGACTTGAGATACCATCTACCTCTACCCTCCCTTAGGATCTCTGCAGAGGGATTATGGGTTAGGCTGCTAATTTACCACAGGGCTTTCTAATCCCATAAAGAGTTACAGTCTCAGAAACCCACTGGGGAAGTTCTACCCTGTTCTGTAAGGTCACTATGAGTTGGAATCGACTCGATGGCTATGAGTTTGGGATTTTGAGAGAGGAGGAAGGAAGCTGGAGCAAAAAGAGGCTAGCATTGCTATTCTTAAAAATAATTACTAGCTCAGTGCTTTGTTGTCTATCATCCATTATGCTCTGCAGTCAACCCTCCAAGTGTATGGAGCACGTAACCATGCGACTTATCCCATTCCACAGAAAAGTGACTGAGGTTCCAGCAAATGCCAACTACTTGGGGCTCCATGAGGCCATAGTCCTTCCCTGAAGGAAAGCACAGACCGAGCAGCAAGAATGTGATTGCAAGCAGTCACATAAAAACCCAAACAACACAAAACTCTGCACTCATCCCTGTCCTCTCCAGTCCTCCTAGTTCTCAGACACCTGTCTCTCCCAGAGTTCCAGAAACAAGAGCTGAGAAACAACGTCCAAGGCCCTTTATGGGTCCCAGGCCTGCAGTTTATAGCAAAGACTCAGAAACCGTTTTTGCACATATGCCTGTAATCCTTGAACGTGTTTGGAAGTGGGCACTGTCGATTTTAAAAATGAGACTAGCAAAGCTATAAAGGGAAACACTTTCTTTCCTTGTTTGTGAATGAGGCCTACTGGTTGGGTGATTCACCATTTAAAAATACATTTCATTAGAAATCAATTAGGAAAAAGAGGAGGGGCTTGGAGCGATCCTGTGTGTGTCAGAGTAGAACTGTGCTCCATGGAGTGTTTCTCTCTCTCTCTCTCTCTCTCTCTCTCTCTCTCTCTCTCTCTCTCTCACTCTCTCTCACACACACACACTCCCCTCCCCTCCCCTCTTCTTTCTCTCTCTCTCTTTATCTCTCTCTCTCTCAGTAGATCACCAGGCCTTTTTTTTCTGAGGTATCTCTGGTAGATTCAACATTCCAAACATTTGGTTCGCAGTTCAGTAAGCAGGTTCATGGTTTGCACCAGACAGGGACTCCTTATAAATAGAACTTCAATGGCCTATTTTTGCCATCTTGGTTTCTTTCGACTGAAAATACAATTCAAATCTCCATAACCCAGCCATCCACCTTACAGTAATAACTCTGAAAGAAGGGACAAGGCAGGCCCATCTTAAAAGAAAGAAATCTTGTCTAGTGGCATGGCAGAGTCCAGGGATAGGGGGTGGGGTACAAAAAGTTCCCGGAATGATGAAGGTGGACATTGGAGACAGGGCATGGTGCCCCAACAGGCTAGACTGGAAAACACAAGTTTTTCTTGCTTGGTATATTTTAATTTGTTCTTCGTCAGTG